ACTCTATAAAAAATTAAAAAAAAGTCTAAAAAAAATTTTGACCTCTTTTTTGTCGATAAAAATAGGTCTAGTTTCATCTATTTTCATATGTACACTTTAACGTGACTCACACTGTATTTTTCAAGCAGGCTTTTAAAAAGCTGTTTCTTTTTATTTCAATCCAATTTGTATTATTATGGTAAATAAATGTCATAATCTTCCTAACGACAAGACCGCTGTATTGTGCCATCTAAAATCATGAGAGATAGCCCATCTTTAATTGGCCCCATATTCGTACTAAGTAGGTACACTGTTTTTTCAGCTAGATTTCCCGATAAAACGCTTATAAAACTCATTTATTTTTGCAAATAGGATTTTAAAAGCACTTTTACAGTACCTACCTCTAGCATGAAAAACTTTCGACTTCGAATCGCCATCAATAGATTTAAGTTCGAAAACTAAAACAGCGCCCTTGTAAACGTGTCGTAAAGTGAACGTATGAGAAATGGTTGCATGAAACTTATTTTGACAATCAAAATTGTCATATTATCGTTCAATTCGAAGGTTGAGTATCGAATTTTGTCGAATACGCAAACGATTCGAAGACGAAAGTTGTTCATGCTAAAGGTACAGAATGATGTCTAATTCTCAGTATTGAAAATCGTCTGCCTAGTCTAGACCAGACCAAACGGGACAGAATACAGCCGGAGTATTGATTTCCTTCCGTACCGGGCCGTGCGACGACCCCTGATACACCCGAGGCTGTGGCAGCAATTCAGCTAACATTGTGGTATCACGGATCTATGAATTTTTCCAACCGGGCCAAAAATGTTGCGGTAGATCGTTTCATCCACGAAAACGCGCCCCAACATTCTTCCGATAATGTTTGAGTGTTATCGGTACACGCTAAATCATCCATGAGTGCACACGCACACTACAATAATGACGCTCGGATTGCTCGGATCAAACTCCCCGCACCCCGCGCGACCGAGACCAAAAATTGGTAGGGCGCGTCTTCGTGGATGAAACGATTTATACCGCCTCCTCCCAGCGTTTAAGATGCCTAAAAAAGGTCTATTCCGCTTTGATCACATGGATTTTATCGTCCAGTACCTCTAGTAGGAAAAACTTTCGAGTTCGTTTCGTTGCGTATTCAAAGTGTCATCGAAAAATTTTGTATGAAAAATTAAACAGCGCCCCCTATATTATAGCCGCCCTAGGGGGCGCTGTTTAATTTTTCATACAAAATTTTTCGATGACACTTTGAATACGCAACGAAACGAACTCGAAAGTTTTTCGTACTAGAGGTACAGGTGATCAAAGTGACACTATGGGTTCCTTCGATCACCCATGGATAAGATCACCTAAGACTAAGTGATCAAAGTCTTTTTGAGATGGAGGCCAAACTTTGTCCCAGGGTAAAGTTGAAATGTCATTGCGGGTGTACGATCAATTGGCGTCGAATTTAATCAGAAGAATATACGAGAAGTCTTCGCGAGGAGAGGGGGAGTGGAAAGAAAAATGAAATTCAGCCAAGAAATGAAAATTAGGGAGCCCCCAATCCCAAGGGAAAGTTCTTCGACACCGACACCCGAGAAATCGATGGGAGATTTAAAAGTGTTTTTTATATACAGAGCTTCTGTATAGAAAATGAATGAATGTTTATAAAACAATGAAAACTTGATTAACAAACTTAATGGAGGCCTCGTCAAAAGTTACGAGGGCTTCTCGCACTTGCTATGATTCTTTCGCAGAGTTCATTAAGAAATGTTGATTACGCGATCTGATTGCCTTATACTAGCTAGTTCCTGCGAGTTCACTTGCGACAGAAATAATGCAGAAATGAATCAGCATGGGACTATTCCCACTTCTCGTTCCCACCGCTGCAACTCCTGTGTATCCAGGATCTACAGCTTGTCCGCCAATAACCCAATCAGTGAAGGTCAAGTTTGTCCCGGGGGAAAGTAACTGTCATTGGACCCGCAGGGAAATTAATCAGAAGAACATGAGTTGATGAATCATCAAACATCATAATTTTAGCCTGCTGAACATAGGCCTCCCCCAATGATTTCCATACTGACCGGTTAGTATGGTAGCGGCTTGCATCCAACACGCCTTGCTGTCTTTATGAGGTCGTCGGTCTATTATTCATCAATCAATTTAAATGGAATTGTAAATTAATGTAACATCCCCTTATTGTTCCAGACTTGATGGATGATCATTCATTAACGATATAAAATACACTATTAATTTATTTTCGCCGCTAACTTAAAAAGAATTCGATACTTAAGTAAAAATATAAATTTTCAAGCAAATTGTCACTTTCAAGCATTTTTACGACAAAGAAAACTAGGCATGTACCTAAGTCCTTTTCCGGGTTGAAATATACATTCATGCCCGTATTCACAAACGATGCTTGCTTAAGTGAAGCATCAAATCGAACACACAACGTTGAATAGAGCTGATTGGTGTCACCCTGTGCGTCCACGCGCACTGTGAGACCTCATAGTAATAAACTACGGGAGTCATTGTCGTAAAAAAAACACACATACCAATAACAAAAATAATCAGTTACTTTTGCGATAACATTCATGTCATAAATTCTTAATAGAAGAGTTTTCCTCCATAGAGGAAAGCATTTTCCATGAATGAATGAGCCAGAAGGGTGGGGTTCTCAAGGTCACCAGAGGCGTAGCTACCAAGGGGCTAGGCAGGGCAGGGCCCCGGGGCGCAAGCTCAGGGGGACCCTCAAATCCATACCAGAAAATCTCAATTAAGTAAATATCCTTGGACATTTTACACTGCACCGCTATCCCCAAACTAAGCAACATATATTAACATACTTAAATATGTACTTTTTTTGTAAATACATACTTAATATAGGTACATAGAAAACACCCAGACCAGTCCTGGATTTATAAATATGGGCGGCAGCATCCAATTTTCATTACTTCCGGAAAACTTTCCAGGTAAAACTACCAAATGACTGGACTAATGGGGCTGGCGGCGGAAATAAAGTGGCCTACACTCATAAAAAATATAAGTCCGGCACTGACCCAGACCCGTCACAGAAATTAAAATTCATCATTTCAATTTCTGCCCGGCCGGGAATCGAACCCGTGACCTCTCGGCATAGTAGTCCGTTCTGAACTAGGTACTACACCAAACGGCCGACAAAATTCGAAAGTTATACCTATGGAATTCCCCTAAATTCTTTCTGTACGTTAGCAGTGTTGTCAATTTGACGAATAGCAATATTTGCATTTTATTGTGAAGAGAAGAGAAGAGAACGGTTAAAAAATTAATGCTGTATCAGGAGTAGTAAGCTAATGTCTTAAATTTCATAAAACCTAACCAGTTTAGATAGCAGCTGGCCCCATTTTTTATTTGCCCCAGGGCCCTTGGTTACCTAACTACGCCACTGGCTAGACTGACTCATTCTATTTGTTATGACGGAGTGTGACGAATCATGACCTCGGGAAACCATTGTTTAGGACTTTAGTGAGTAATTACCTTCCCTAAAGTTTAATTAAGTTGAAGGAGAGATCCCACTAGCTTTTGAAGGCGAGAGTGAATAGGCACTTACAGGGCTGATAGTACCATCCTAGACAGCATCTCACTTAACATCAGGTGCGATTGCGGTTAAATACCTGCCTTGTTATGACATATTAATATTAAAATAAAACGGGACTCTTTTTTACAACAGCGCTAAGGACTCCGGTTTTCACCAAAGCGGAGAGATGTGTTGGATTCAAGCTCCTTTCGGTCTAACATGATTTGGGCTAGGTATACAGGGTGGAATTTTGTAATGCCACCTGGAGGGAAAGTGCTCTTAATATTGAAGATAGAATTTTTTTCTCTCGAAAATCTTTGAATGCAGTTCTCTTTCTTTAAAAAATAAAGGAATGTTTTCTTTCAGTAAAATTTTCTATCTACAGTATTAAGAGTACTTTCCCTCCAGGTGGCATTACAAAATTCCACCCTGTATAACGATTCCGATGAACGTGCGTTCGTATAAAATTAATTAATCTTACAATAATATCAATGATTAGGCATGTTTATAAGATAAGTAGCATACGAGCACATATACTTCCCAACATAACTATAAAAAATAACCTTACCAATGATTCGGGACAAATGTAGGCCAGTGCATTTTGTTTTAATGTTTCTACTAAACAATGACACACATTTCACCAGCCACTAAGTAGGTACGAGTATGTCTGCAGTAGGTAAACTGACCACGTGATTGTACAAACAGTTCACGCGCTTTTATTTCATGTGTTGACTGTTTTGTAAACGTAACAGTTAATTAAAAGCGTAAATAATAATTTTCTTCAATTATACAATCAATTGACATACTTTTTAAAGCTGTCAAAACGCATTTCCCTTTAATTTTTATAGAAATTGCGACGCATCCCGTGACGTCACTTACCTATTTGCCAACTCTGGAATTTAAACTGGGTGTTGGAGTTAAAATGAATTGGTTTTTAGATAAGTGACGTATTGGAAAAATGAATTGTATGTACCTACTCAGCTGTAAAAGACCCTACTAAATATAATTGTTTAAACAAAAATCTACCCTCGCGAAATTCGGAAATACTTTTCTAAGGTTTACAAGTCACCTCCATCTTTTGTAGTTAGGTAGACAGACAGACAACGCGTTTGATCATTAGATATCCCTCAGACCTAGCTCAGCCTCTCTAGAAAACGTTTTATAATCTACCTGACTATTTTAATTATATTTTAGGTTGTTTTAAAGTAAAGGTAGGTTTGCTCTGTAAAACGAATTAAAATTGTCACGATTTCCTTGTCATGGGGTAAAAGAGTTGTAAAATGAAGGTAATCGATCAAAAAAGCTTTGTTTTATGAGTTTTAATACACTTCATCATCATCATTTCAGTCACAGGACGTCCTCCACTGCTGAACATAGGCCTCCCCCAATGACATTGGTTGTAGCGGCCTGTATCCTGCGCCTTCCTGCTACCTTTATCAGGTCTTAGTAACAATCTTAGTGCACTTACCTGGTTAAAAATAAACTCTCTTGGCAAAGACATCGCTTCTCGATGTCTGGAGGAGCTGGTAGAGTTCTGGCGGAGTACGTAAAATGATCCTCGGATTCCGTTGATTCTAACTTAACGTCGTCTCTTTTCAAGATACATACGGCATCAGCCGTATAATGCATTTGTTTTTTATACTTAGAATCTCGTGTCGACGCCGTTGTAGTGTCTTTTATTATACTTTTACCAAAAAAATCCCTTGAAAACTTATGTACCACTGTTACAACGCGAAATACGCGATATATACAGAAAATTACGGATTGATTGCCACCAACATTGTAATGTTATAGTAAAAAAATACACAGTGTGCCCGCAATCGGGTTTTAGACGCTCAGGCCCGAGTTTTTAGTATAAAAGCTCAATAATCGCGGCGGTGTGAGCGAGCGCCTGGCACAACGTAACAGCAACGAATAACAGCGATGTGAAGTTGCTGATGTTGCGCAATGAGGAAAATCGATACGAGCGTATAGTCAGCGCCGCACAGTAGTTTGATTTTAAAAATAGGTGGACATACGATCGAAAGTCATAATTTCACCGAAACAAAAATTGTTTTGGATAGCATTTTGAATGCTGATCAACATTTGTCATTATGCATTTTTCGATAAAACGAGCCTTTCATGCTTAAAAAAAATATGACAAGAAAATTTGTATGGAGAAAAATCTTTTTTATTTTTTTTCTGGCTACTGTTGCAAACTGTAGCGGTCAAACCTTATGTAGTCGTAAGTACCTATGGTGCCTAACATTACTACATAAATACTTTTTGCGGGCACGCGCGGCGAAGCGAGTAATGGACATGCAAAATTTTAAATATTTTTATTTATTCATTATTGATTTTAATGCACTTAAAGTAATTATTAATAGATAAATATACTTAGTCTAACTTACTACAGCCCCCTATTACTTCATTTCACGCTAAAACCTTTCAAACTAGAACCTAAGTTTGTAGGTACTAGGTAGTCTAAGTTATTTTTATTGTCATTATAATATTCACTACTGGTCTACTGGTTATCGTGTAAGATAGATTAGGTAGATATCAACCCTTTACCTAGCGCGTGCCCGCAAAAAGTATTTATGTAGTAATGTTAGGCACCATAGGTACTTACGACTACATAAGGTTTGACCGCTACAGTTTGCAACAGTAGCCAGAAAAAAAATAAAAAAGGTTTTTGTCCATACAAATTTTCTTGTCATATTTTTTTTAAGCATGAAAGGCTCGTTTTATCGAAAAATGCATAATGACAAATGTTGATCAGCATTCAAAATGCTATCCAAAACAATTTTTGTTTCGGTGAAATTATGACTTTCGATCGTATGTCCACCTTTTTTTAAAATCAAACTACTGTGCGCCGTGGAATCGCAATGTTTGTAAAATTAAAAGCAAATTACGTGGACACCAAGCTGTTTATATATCCAGTGATTTCTTTCAAGCATTTTAATTGGAAATTGAAGTAATTTTGAGAATATTAATGACAGTTAAATCTCTGTTTATATCGATTTTATCATAACTAGAATTACAAAATTTCTAGTTTCTATCGGCGCTTACTGTACACGAAGGCAAGAGACTTGGAGCCTCTGTAGCAGCGATAAGCGTACAAAATCTGGAACGTAAGAGCTTCGTTCAGAACTGAATTTCATTTTATCCCTATTTCGAGAAGATTCGTTTACACACTGTTCCCGATGACACGGTTGTCCTACGTAGTGCCATTGCTTCGCAGTGTTGGTATGACTGATTCTTATGGGTCACAATGATCAGAATCAGAATCAGAATCAGAATCATCACAATCACATGATGCCAACAATATGCAGATTTCATTTGTTATTTTAATCTTTACTTACTACCTAATATAAAAATTCATAAAAATCAGAAGAAAGAAAGCGTATAACATTAATTTGGGATAGCGTACAATAATGGTCAAACCTCTTCAACTTTGTATGTCATCGACGTCAATTTTCTGGATGATATTGCTTCCAAACGATAAGACCGCCTGCATTTTGTCTTTCTTGTAGTTTTATAATAGTGATGACTGTGTTTCTTGCGCTGCTTCTTCCCAGCACTGGCCCATTTATTGTCCCGAAGTAGTGGTAGGGTTAATACTGGTGTAAAAGTGCGTTTTAAAAGCCTACTTGCAAAAATAAAATTAGTTTTATGAGTGTAGGCCAACAATATACATTTTCCTATTGTAAATTAGATGGGCCAATAAATGTAGTTGAGAATGACATGTTATACATCAAGTTAAGGAAAGCAATTCTAGTAAAATCTTACTTTTTTAGCAATTTAGCTTTTAAAAAGCGCTTTTAGACGTCCCATTTAACTCCAACTGCTTCAGGACAATAATGTGGCCAAAAGAATCGTGTTCCATGCCATCCATTGGAGAATATTGATCTAAATTTAAAAATACTGCGGCATGTTGCATAAGTCGGATTCGTGCTGTCACGAAGACATTGGAATAATGCCTTATTACCCACCGCACTACCAAACCACACTACCAGTAGTGTCGTGGGGAATATTTTTTCCCTTCTGCACTACCAAGCCAGTAGTGTCGTGGGTAACATACATCTTCATTCCCATCGACACTACTACCATAACTAAATGTAAAGGAGAACAACCATTTTGGGCCCAAGTTTGTACAGAGTTGTACATTGGTAGGTTTTTGATATTATATTACGCATACATTAGGGAGTATTTTACGGTAAAAATGATAATTTTAACTGATGTCGTAAGTCGTATACAATAATAAAAACGAATTAATGATTTAATCTAAGATAACGTAAAATGGAACGTTAAAAGTCAATCGATTAAAGACTCAATACACTATACTGTCCCACCAAACTCATTGACAGGGGGGCGCCACCATCGTTCAACTATATAGTTTCTAACATGGCAAAAATCGGAACCAGCGATCCGGTATTGACGGTGGCGCCCCCTGTCAATGTCACGGGTGGGACAATTCAGTGTATTTGATCTTTAAGAAGGTTTGTACTGACAGATGACAAAACTAAAATGATTGAATGAATTAATGAATGAAAATAATTCGTTTTGTCATCTGTCAATGCAGCAATGTCACTTGCGAATCACAGATGAGACCACAGATTAGAGAGTATGNTGGTCTCGAAGCGCTGGTAGGGTAAAAAGATTATGAGACATGTAGAGGCTCCTTAAGAGCAAAATGACGATTTGTAAGAACTATTTATTAGTCCAAACAAATAAAGAAATTTTGACTTTTGACTTTTTTGACTTTTAAAAGGTTAATGCCCATTTTCACCAACAATCCCTAATTTTTAAGTGACCCATATGGACTTATCAGGAATTTTGTTTTCATAGGGTCACTTAAAAATTAGGGATATATGGTGAAAACAGGCATAAGTCACATATTTTGACTAAAATGTAGAACTGTAAAATTAGGGCTTATAGAGTTAAGGCGCGTAGAGTAAGAAGCTTGGCTCTACATGAGATTTGATAAGTTACTTTTTGATATGGTAGCCAGTTATTATGGTACACGAAAATGTTTCGTTTGGGATTTATGATCTATTTAGAACTTTTCATATCTTATCTTTAGGTAAAGTTACTGATATGTATGATAATTAAACTTATTATATATTATTTGCACTCACCTTCAAAGTCATAATCATAGCCCCAAGTTCTTTTGAATGTAAGAGTATTTTGTCCCTCGTTTGTAAGGCTGAGGTCAATATAATAAAAACAAACATAATAACAAAAGGAAAGGTTTTCTTATAAACATTACGCTAGAACGAGGGTCGAAGCACTGCGCAATAGGGGCTAATACAATAACATAAAACATCTAAGTCGAAAACCTCGCCAAACAACGTAAGACATGAAGGCACAGTAGAACCACTTTGTCAGTTTTTATGTAAACGATCTGTCTTTACTAAAATACGTTCGTTCGTTCGTTTCAGCCAAATTTAATGACGTCCACTGCTGGATAAAGGCCTCCCCCAAGGATTTCCACAAAGACCGGTATTGCGCCGCACCAATCCAGGCACCTCTTTCTTTTTAAAAATAAAGGAATGTTTTCATTGAGTAAATCTTTCTATCTACATTACAAAATTCCACCCTGTGTATAAAATGCCCTCGAGATCATTGTAATGTAATTTTTAAAGGAGAACAACCATTTTGGGCCCAAGTTTGTACAGAGTTGTACATTGGTAGGTTTTTGATATTATATTACGCATACATTAGGGAGTATTTTACGGTAAAAATGATAATTTTAACTGATGTCGTAAGTCGTATACAATAATAAAAACGAATTAATGATTTAATCTAAGATAACGTAAAATGGAACGTTAAAAGTCAATCGATTAAAGACTCAATACACTATACTGTCCCACCAAACTCATTGACAGGGGGGCGCCACCATCGTTCAACTATATAGTTTCTAACATGGCAAAAATCGGAACCAGCGATCCGGTATTGACGGTGGCGCCCCCTGTCAATGTCACGGGTGGGACAATTCAGTGTATTTGATCTTTAAGAAGGTTTGTACTGACAGATGACAAAACTAAAATGATTGAATGAATTTAATGAATGAAAATAATTCGTTTTGTCATCTGTCAATGCAGCAATGTCACTTGCGAATCACAGATGAGACCACAGATTAGAGAGTATGACTAAAGGCTTAGATAGATTAAAAGGTGAGACTGTTGCGAATGCTTGTTGAATTGAATTAATAAAATAATAAATCTTTGGACAATTTCACACAGCGCCAGCTAGCCCCAAAGTAAGCAACTCAATGCTTGTGTTATGGGTGCTAGCTTAACGGATATACTACTTATATACTTTTTTTTTTTAAATACATAAATATTATACATAGTCACACCCAGACCCATCACAGAAATTAAAATTCATCATTTCAATTTCTGCCCGGCCGGGAATCGAACCCGGGACCTCTCGGCATAGTAGTCCGTTCTGAACCACTACACCAAACGGCCGACTGAATTAAAACGAANGGAACTGACGGCCTTCTTATGGCTAAAATGATCATGATGATGATGATGAAAGCGAATGAAGGGCTAATAGCTTGGGTAGTTCATCGTAGGTATAATCACAGAATAATAATAAGTACTATCCTTTCCTTTTCAATGTTTCTTTTAGTTATTAATAGATTCTAGTCATAGTACATACCTACTCGTATGTATGATTGTGTTATACTGTGATTTATAATAAGTACTTAGTGGAATTACTGCTTTCAAAACGTGAATTAGAACTGGCCCCATAGCAGAAATTTTCCTACATCTAAATGCCCTTTGAAATTGTATATTGGTTATGGCTATTGGAGCGGGTACCACTTTCCATACATTTGTGCCCATCATCCTTTGTCCCGGTATTCAAGTTTTTTTTTACTTAAATTTGTTTAGTTTTAT